TCAATTGCTTATGAATTCACTTAACTACAATCAAAGAATTCACATTAATTTTCAACAAAAGTATCATGACTAAAAATGTATCGTGACTTTGGCAACTAACTTCATTAAGGAGATAACTATAACATTCATCTGATTTATATAAAATTAAGTCACTCGTTTTTCTTAGTCAGCAATTTGTTTCCTTAATTACATTTATTACAATTTCATTGTTTTGTTTGTTTGCTTATTTACTTGTTTATCATCTGTCTCCTCTCACAGAGAATAAACTATTTGAAAGGCAGGGATTGTGTTTGTCTTATTCATCCATATATCCTCAGCACCAAGCACAGTGCCTGGCTTTCAACACATAAATGAATGAATCAAAATTATGAGAAAAAAATGGTTTGACATGACATTTTTACTAGAGATATCTAGCTCCTGTTAGGGCACAGGTAGCCTGGGGCAACTCAATGGCTTGCTCCAATGGCCAGTTTTCCCAAACGAAACGTATTGCGCAGATGCTAACATTTGTGTGTCATGTGGCTTAATAACAGAATATCAGAAACAGAGTCCATCCTACAGATTCCAGAACATGTCTTAATTACAAGCCTTGAAACGTTTTTACTGCTCAGATTCTATCTTTCTCTAAACGTAACTGTGCTGAACACTGATACGGCACTCTGATCCCCCACTGTTGTTTCAGGGATTGCCCCAGTTGCAGAAAACACTACATCACAGGTCATGCTCTTTCTTAGGGCAACCCAAGTCCACTAATGAATCAATGTAGGCATATAAAGGCTTGGCCATCTCAGCACAATCGGGGACAACTCTAAAAAGCCACTGCAGCTCCAGAGTTCCCCATGGGGTCAGTGGAAGTTGTCATGGTGCCTGCATTGCAGCTCAGTTTCTCCTTCAGCCCATTCTTGCTTCCTCTGTACCCCTCCCACAGGGGCTGATCTCTAGGGCTTTTCTTTTAACACTAAAGTTGTTTCAGAATCTCCTTGCCAGGTAACCTAATCTGTGGCAGTTAGTACCTGGGGTGGTCTGAGAAATCAGGTGATAAGATGGGGCTTTAGAGCTGGATCACTCACTATCTGGCTGGCAGAGAACCCCATCACAGGTGGTAGATGGGGTGCAGAGAACCCCTGGCACAAGGTGGGCTCCCACTGTTAAAACTCTCGCCAGACGTAGGTAAGGATGGCATAGTGATGGAAGGAAACACATTAGCTGGAATGACGTATCAGATGTTTGAGAAATACTAACAATGGGAAAATACAAAAAGCTGAGGGCAAGTAATGACCACTGTGAAAGCCAGAGGCTCTCCCGGGTAGAAACAAAAATGTTCTCAGTTCCTGTAGCTTCTGGGCAGAGAAAGATGACCAGGAACAGGGATTAATCATCAGAGTAGTCATAAACTCCAAAACTCTTAAGAAAGGAAGATCGGCTAAGTTATGATCCTGGTTGGAAAAGAATAGGATCCTGCCATATGGGATGAAACATCTGGTTTGATACCTTCCAAAATCTTGAATTCCTGGATTCCCCAGAACTTTCTAAACCCAACAAAGTGCCCTGCCCCTTCTTTCTTGAGGATGATGTAGACAAAGGTTTCTCCCCCATAAGACAACATGTATCTCCCTAACCCCCATCTGTCTACCCTTACCTCCTCTCCAGACCCTTAGGCCTATAAAACTAGGGTTATGTCTCAGTATAACCCATTTGGCCTCATAAAGGAAGAAAGAGGCTATTTTACAAAGGAACTGAAAGATCTAGCTAGTTTATATTGGTGAGGAGAGTACATATGAGATCAAGTTCTGAGGATGTTTGATCCAAGGGGCCAGAATTCAAGATTAGATAAAGGGAGAGTCTATCAATTTGAGGACATTCTCCTGAGATGCAGGATTAACAACCAGCAGGAATCTCAGGAGATGGTATAAACGTGCTACTATAATGGTTCCTAGAAACACAGACAAGTAATGGCTCATATTAAATATGGTTGAAATACCAGAAATGCTGTGGCAGAGGGCAGAAGAGGGGGTTATAAGACTCAGAGAGTGCATTCTGGAGTGCACATGCTGCATAAGGTCAGAAAACGCATCAGATGATGATGTTCCACAGGAAGACCTAGAAAACACGCAATTTACCACAGCCATAAAAAATATGCTAGTGAGAAGACATCTACATTACTCAGTTGCTCTCCTCTGAAGGCCAGAACTGACAGAAAAAAGGCTGTTGTAGAATTAGGCTCATTCATATCAATGTGGATGACAGAACCACATGAGGACCAGAAGCCATCAGAAGCCAGATGACCACAATTGCCATAAGCGTGGCAAGGTTGGGGTGGGTAGGGGGCTGACCCATAGTTATTGAGATAATTAATAGAATTAATAAAATATGCATCCCTGAAGGCAAAATAGATAGCTAACAAGGCTACTACTCAATATGTACATTCAAAAGAAATCAAAGATGGATGACCACAAGGCTGAGGGTAGTTGCTCCAATGAAATCACAATATCTTGCTCAGTTTCCAAACCTGAGCTAAGTTTTGGACCCAGAACCCACTAGTTGAAGAAAAGGCCTAGTCTCCAGAGGGAAGTACCTTGCAACACCATGGCAAGAATACATGGTAATAATTCTCCCAATCCTTCTCCAAAGGGGCCAATGGCCCTTTATTTAGGTAACTATGCACTGGGGACAGGGCACACCCAAACATTTAGAAGGAACAGAGTTGACAGTGGTACCAGGAGGCCTGAAGCATCAATATGCTCTCCCTTCTTATTAGAAGCATACGAGGGCCAGTAATAAATGGAGCTCTGGCCGAGGTCTAGCACATAATGGGTCTACTGGGACTAGAGACCCACCTGGTATTGATTGCTCAGTCCCCAAATATATAATCAGGATAGACATACTTGGTAAATGCTGTAACTCCCATATTAAATCTTTGGCCTATGAAGTTAGAGCTATAATTGTGGAAAAAGACAAAAGGAAGAATTTTACACTGCCCTACCCTAACCCAGACAAGACAGTAAATAAAAAACACAACGTAATATTGGTTCAGGGATGGTGGATGGCAGGAATTAGTATTCTTTTAAGGAACTAAATAATTGCATGCAGGGGTGGTCCCAACGAAGTCATCCAAGGCTGCTGGTGAGTTCACGTTGCAGGCCAACTTCTCCCTTTATCCATGCTTATTTCTGTCCCCTCCCTTCCAAAGGGGTTGATTCCAAGAATACTTCTTAATAATTCCTTCTCAGAATCTGATTCCTAGTAGTTAACCCAACTTGCAACAGTCATTTTCCACCTTAATTTAAGTTAATTTCCTTTTAAAACAATCTTGAGCTTATCCTCAAAACTACTTCCCAATATAATTGGAGAATGCTAGGTTTCACTTTTGGAAAACTTTTCCCAAAGCAATGTCATGCTAGGAAGTACATTTGAAAAATCTTTGGGATTTTTCTCTAGGAAGAGCCCAGAAGTATAACTCCTGATTTATAGGTGCTTTCTGCTTTTAAAATTATTGTTGACTCTTGTCCATCCCCATTTGCTTACCAAAGATCTTAGGTAACCCTTCAATTCAACACTTAAGAAAAATTTTTTTCTGATTCCAGATTGACACAGCACATTCAAAATTAGCACATATCTCATTTTCTCCAGAAAGCTTTTCATTTCATATCAAATTGAATTATTTCTCTATTTATTTCATCAGCATTTGAGTACATAGGCCATAGATGTTATCTTCATAATTTGTTTAATAGCTTCTTTGTAAACATATTGAAGCTGTCTCTATAAATTTGACTTTATTTATACAGACAATAAAAACAAATACGTTGAGAATTTCATTCTCCTCTTATATAGCCTCGTGGTATTCTCTACACAATCTCTTGATTAATGTTGCTATCTAGAAAGTTACAGAAAATTTTAAAACTTATGTAAGTTTTACAGAGTATGAAATTTAAAATTAAATACGCAAAACTACTACTAATTAACTATACTAAAAAATCTTGAATTTAAACTGTAGAGTTTCTCAACTATTTCTATGAATAAGTATAGTATAAATAACAACAATAAATAAATCAGGCATAGGTTTTTAAAAAGTAATCCATACTAATTGGCAAGTATACTCTGCGTTAAAACCTAGGGTAATGAGAGAGTCAATATATTTTAAATATTGTGCCAGGGGATACAACTTCTTAAAATTACACCTTATAATAAAAGGAAACCAGAAGTATGTCTCTAGTTACAGTTGATTGTAGTGATGGGTTTATTTCTATGAAAAACCAAGGCAACATATATGTTTTTAAATAGTACATGGTTTCTATGGTTTGACAGTAACAAATGAGATGACTGTTAGTGTGACAAAATTCTCCCAGAATATATTACTAAACTATGTAGAAGGCTCTTCTTTGAAAGGAGAAAAAAAAAAAACTGGAAAATTTTGTGGTAGCACTTGGCCCACAGTTAAATACCATCTAGACTAGGTGAAATATAGCACCATATTTTTAATCAGAGATTCATGGATTGTGATTAGATGTCCTGGTTCTTGCTCCATTCTAGACCCTGTGGATTGTACTAACTCATGCTCACTTCTTCCTCTGCTTCTCCTACTACTAAAGGGTCAGACACATCCAAAAAAGACAACAGAAGATCAGGTTTTATCAATAGCCAGAAACAAAGTACAGACTGCCAATAATCGTATAAAGGCTTGCTAAGGTAATTTAGTCACTGGCTATTCATTGCTTCATTCACTATAACATGCATTCCAATAACCACAGGATCTAAAGATTCTTGTAAAATTATCTTCAGAGATAACAACAGAGACACCTTTTTTGGTGACAGATTCATGAAGTTATCATTTAGCCACTAAGAGTTATGAGGATATATACATGGGTGTATTTCATTCAAATCACTTCTAATTATTAAATATATTGCACCAAACTTGGATATTGTTATACTTCATTAGGTTAGGTTATCTTCAAATTTCTGAAATTCAACTCAAACATAGATAAAATAAATATTGTACATACTTGGAAGAAACCGCCTCCATGAATTCATCCAAAAAACTGTCATATTCAGGACCTCTCACTCTTCTCTGCCGTAGTCCAATGTACAATGGATCTTTCAGTAACTCCTATTTAAAAAAAGTTATCAGAGATATAGAAATAACTAAAGGCAAGTCATTTACTTGTTCTAAGCTTCAGTTTCCTTATCTGTATAATAAGGATAGAAATGGAAACAAAATCTTGCCAAACTGATTCAGACCAATCTTCAGAGTTAATATTTAGTATTTTATAGAATATATCGACATTAATTGGAAAATCAGTAAAATAATTGCTAAATGTTAAAAACATTCTGCCTTTTCTGAGGCAAAGAAAACAAATTATACTCTCTCAGTGGTGCTAATTAAATAAGCTCAGTTCAGAGTTACAGGCAAAGTTTATCACATAGAAAAATAATATTGAGTTTTGAAATATTATATTAGCTTAGGAAATAGAAAGATAGCAATTACTTTAATTTTTTTTGTTTCTGCAAGCAAAATCATCAACCAACATTTTTATTGTACTTTAATATTATAGCTGACTAATGTTAAAAATAAATTCTTTACCATACTGTTTTGATTATTGTTGCTCTGTAGTACAAGCTGACGTGATATCTCCAGCATTGTTCTTTTCTCTTAGGATTGCTTTGGCTATTCGGGGTCTTTTGTGGTTCCATACAAATCTGATTATTTTTTTGTTCTATTTCTTTGAAAAATGCCATTGGGATTTTGATGGGGATTGCATTAAATCTGTTTATGGCTTTGGGTAATATGGCCATTTTAACTATGTTGATTCTTCCAATTCATGAACACAGAATGTCTTTCCGTTTCTTTGTGTCTTCAATTTCTCTTAAAAATGTCTTATAGTTTTCAGTGTATAGGTCTTTCACATCCTTGGTTAAGTTTATTCCTAGGTATTTTATTCTTTTTGTTGCAAATACAAAAGGAACTTTTTTTAAATTTCTTTTTCTGAGATTTCATTGTTAGTATACAGGAATGCAATGGACTTTTGTTATTATGCTAAGTGAAATAAGTCAGACAGAAAAAGTCAAGAACCATATGATTTCACTGACATGTGGGATATAAAACTGAAAACAACAAGATAAACAAATGAAGAAACAAAAACTCATAGACACAGACAATACTTTAGTGGTTACCAGAGGGTAAAGGGGGAGAGGGGTGGTAGATGAGGGTAAAAGGTATCAAATACATGGTGATGGAAGGAGAACTGACTCTGGGTGGTGAACACACAACATGATATATAGATGATGTATTACAGAATTGTACACTTGAAACCTATGTAACTTTATGAACAATTGTCACCCCAATAAACTTTAATTTAAAAATCAAAAAGAAAATAAATAAAGTTTTTAGCCTAGACTAAAATTTTTCTAAACTTTTTGAACTTTACACAGTTAAGTTTTTTAAAATAATATATATGAGACAACATTGCTCTGTTCAAGTTTTAGTATATGCAATGGTGGTTCTTATTAAATCAGGTTTTTAATTGAGGTATAATTTACATACAGTAAAATTTATATTTTATAACATAACTATAACATTTATAACGTATATAACAAATATAACATATATTACATTTTATAATATAAATATAACACTTATATTATAAAATGTACATTTATAACAAAACTAGGTGTATAACTAGGCACAGAAAGGAACTTCCTCAACTTAATAAAGGTCATCTGTGAAAAACCCACAGCTAACAACATATCTAACAGAAAAAGATTGAATGCTATACCCCTAAAATTGGAAATAAGATAATATTTACTCTCAGTACTTCTGTACAATACTATACTGAAGACCCTAGCCATTACGATAAGGCAAGAAAAAAAAAAGTAAACTGTTTTTATTTGTACATACATGATCATGTACATGGTAAATACTAAGGAATCTACAAAAAAAATCCACTAGAAAAAAAAATCTGTGCATTTACATTATGACAGAATATAAAGTCAATGTACACAAATCAAATGCATCTCTATATACTAGCAATAAAAAACTGTAAATCTGAAAATGAAATAAAGTACACAACTCCATTTACAATAGCATTCCAAAACATGAAATTCATAGGGACATGTTTAACAAAACATGTGTAAGTCCTGCACACTGAAAACTATAAAATATTGCTAAAGTAAATTTAAAGGGACAAACTGCTTTTGCAGGCTGAAAAAAAAAAGGCAATCCATGTCGTGTAATAGTGAAACAACGAACAAAACTGTCACCTTTAGAAACCTAGAATAGAGAAAATGTAAACCTAATGAACTTGTGAATCTGGATTAAGAGATTTCCAGGCACAAGGTTGAATATACAAATTGGCTTCTCATAGTTGTATGATAAAGTTAAAACAGAGATGAGCTAAAGAAGAAAATGTTCTGTGTGAACAAAGTTTAAAGAAAATACAAAGGACACACACTTACTTGTAAAAGATTTCCAAAGTAAAATAAGGCCTGCAGTCAAAGATAAAATTAAGTGTGTGGTTGTAACAACTTTTAAAAAAATTGCTGAATGATTTAAAGTGGAGTCTAATATAGCCCATCTTGACTAGATAAAAGGAACTGGTCCCACAGCTCTGCTATGCCAACCAATGTAGGGGGAAGGTCCATTTTGAACAGAATTGTGAGTGGGGCCTTTAAGTAAAAGACTATAATCTGGTACATTGAAAGCCTAAAAATATTTTAAGGGTGTAGGAATACTTGGATTAATTGGGACTGAGACACTTCAAAATGAAAACACTTCTCTGAGTCACCAAATTTCCACAAGAAGGAAGCAGGCTGAGAAAGTAATGCAGCTACAATACAGCCATTTCTTATGGAAAAAGGAGGACATCTCAGAGGACAGAGCCAAGAGCCCAGAGAACAGAGCCAGAAGCCTAAGAGGACAGTGAACACAGAACTACTCTGAGGCAACAGAATTGGGCCCTCTTCAAAGAGCAACCCCTGTCCCCCCATGTGTCCAATGGGAATTTAAAATTGCAGTGAACTATTTAGAGCCATATAATTCCTGTTCCTCCCATTTTGAATGGGAATGTTGATTGTGGTTAGTCTGTCCCTGCCTCACCATTGTCTGTTTAATATGTGGGAACAGAAAAGAGGACCCACACCAAGGAGCAAAACACACGAAGCTTCATTTTTATCTAGACCTGATTTAGATGACAGGATTATGAACTTCGAGCCTGCTGCTATTGGGATGAAACCCTTAGAAACCTGGGATGGAGATGAGCATATTTTACATGTGGATTATGTGAAAGATGAGAATCGGTGAAGGATGAGAATCTATATGAAGACAGGCCAAGCTGTCCCAAGCATCCTAGCCTTCCTCGCCAGTGAATCATAAACATTAGTAAAATATTAGTAAAACAAAGTCACTAAGTTTAGAGGTAGTTTGTTATAGACACATGACATGTTTTTGCAGATATGGTGATGTTGTTAAGACGTTTAAGCCATTTGAATCATCTGAGTTGAGATTTGCTTAGAGCCAACATAAATTATAGCCTGATTCATACCTGCTGTCTTAGTGTCATTATTAATAGCAATCTCTTTCACTGTGAAAGTGTGTTGGTTTGGCCAATACAGTATGTGGTCATCCTACTTATAACATACTGCATAACAATGAGTTAAGACTTTCTGGCTAACTGGAAGTTAACATATTTAATCATATAAATGTATTTCAGATGAAATGTAAAATCTGAAACTCAGCGCTGTTGTAATGCCCAGCTGTTCCTTGAGGCCTGAAAACTTTAAACAATCTACTGGCAGGCTTCTGAACAGCTGAGGTTGAAGTGCCAGTGAACTGCAAATGGCTGCCAGAATTAAAATACTTTCTCCATGTCTGGAATATATTTGGACTTCTAAACTGTGAATTAGAAAAAGAACACAATTGAGAAAAGATGTTACGTGTTTCCTTCTTTCTGGCAGTCTTTCCCATGCTAACAATTAGAGTATATCTCATAAAGAAGACTGCGATGAAGAGTCAATTATGAAGATTTATGAATATCAAGATAAAGATTCTGAATTAAATTAGGAAGCTATAAATTTCTCCCAATCATAATAACTCTTTCAAAATTTACTGTTTTTTAAAATTTCATAATTATGGCTTGAATAATGAGTGCATTCTTGGAGAATGGACTATCAAAAAATATCTACTAAAAGCAGTTTAACAAGATTACCCAATTTTGATAATGGCTTCATAGACCAAGTAGCGTACCACGGAAGTGATATTAATTTATTGGAAGCAAAAGCCTTTTGTGGCCAAGAATAGACACTCAACAGATCTTTCTTGGAAAACAAATGTAAGACTTGGTATTAAATAAGCACTTAAGAAAGGTTAGACATTCTTTAGCAAGAGGTGTCTCATGTAACGCAGGTTGTATCACTGAAGACTTATGAAGACTTACAGCATGAGAGAAAGAAAAAGATTAGAAGAAAAACAGTAAGAGGCAAAGCACATGGAAATGTAAGAGCATTCCAAAAAGGAGATAAGGAAGGTATATGTTGGTAAAGTTAATTGTCTTACTTGTTAGCACTATCTCAATTCTGGAACTTCAGGAATTTTTATTTGAAGCATTCATTTATTTGAAGCAAATAGTAATCATTATCAATTCTCCCCTTGTTGTTGTCTCTCACATTTCTACCTTTCTAATTGGAAGTTTTGGAGATGTAAAAACTGTTTTCTTAATATATTCAGTTTTTATCATTAGAAAAGCAATATTTCCTATCAGAAAACTTGAGAGCACAGAAAAGTAAAATAAAAAACAAAGCATATACTAATAATCTCTACCCATTCAGAACTACCCACCACTATCACCTTGATGCATATTCTTCTATGTCCTTTTCTTTATGTCTATGCATGTATAATATTATCTGTCCAAATTTGGGACATCGTATGCTGTTTCATAATCTCTTTTCACATAGGAATATATTGTGAAAAGTTTTCATATCAACAGATGAACATTTTTAAAACTAGTGATCTATATTGGAACTCTGCTCTCCTAGAGGATAACAAATTAACATTTCCCCTAATGACATATAATAAGTATGTCTATTTTGTTGCACCTTCAAGTATTATCTTTACAT